GTCTCACTCTTGCTCAGGCTGGTCTTGAACTCCTGAGCTCAAAGTGATACTCCCACCTCGGCCTCCCTGAGTGCTAGGATTACAGGCATGAGCCACCGCACCCAGCAAAAACTCCCTAAACTTTGGACCCTCTGCCTCTTCCTCCAGGTTACTGAGCAATGCTGGAGAAATCCTACCCTTGGGAAGATCACAGGTCCCGGGTCACCTGGTTCAGCTCAGCCCACGGCATGGCCTGACAGCCCTTCCACCTGATTCCCATCAGCTCCCTCTCCCATTGCCTTCCTGCTTGCCTCAGCGTCCACTGCCTTGGCCACAGAAACCGCCCCCCCATCTAGGCTCTGGGTCTCCTTCCTTATCATTTCCTCAGGGACCCTGTCTGTTATCCCATTTCTTCTGTATTTTCAACTACTTCCTCTTTGTTTGTTCTTTCTTCTCAGTTTATAAACCTGGCATCTAGTAGATACTCAGTAAGTCTTTTTATAAAATCAAATTTGTTCAGATATAATTTACAAACAATAGAATACATATTTAAAGTATTTAGCTCAATGGATTTTGACAAATGCATATTCCTATATAACCACTACCTCAATCAAGATAAAGAACTTTCTCATAAGCCTAGTGAGTTACCCTCTGCCCTTTATAGACAATTGATGAAACTACTCACCACCAATCTAATTCTAGTCACCTGGCTTTGTCTTTTCTACAATTTCATAGAAATGGAATCATACAATAGGCTCTATTTTGTGTCTATCTTCCCTCAGTCCACATGATGTTTCTGAGATTTATCCATGTTATTGAATGCATTAACATTTTTTTCTTTTTAATATTGAGTAGTACTCTATTGTAGGGATATATTACAATTTGTTTATCATTCATCTGTTTTAGGACAATTCGGTTGTTTCCCAGTTTGGGCTAGTAGAAATAAGGTAGCTCTAAACATTTGGACATAAATATTTTTGTGAATAAATAGTTTCATTTATCTAGGCTAAATACGTCAGCCTCCCAGAGTGCTAGGATTACAGGCATGAGCCACTACGCCTGGCCAATAATTCTTTACATTAAACCTTCTCTGTTCAAATTTCTTTGTGGTTTCTGTTTCCTGGTTAGACCCTTGACTGGTATATCTGCTAATTCTATCATTTCTGTCACCTCAAGTTCTGTTTCTATTGATTTTCTTTAAATTATGGTTCATATTTTACTTTGAATGCATAGTGATTTTTTTGTTGTAAGATGAACATTGTGCATATATGATATCTTGTAAGTAGTTTGGATTATATTGTCTTCCCTTAAAAATGTTTAGTTTTGTTCTGGTACACAGAAAAATTAGATCACCTAGATCCACTCAGGCTTGGTTTTATGCTTTGCTAAGGTGGGTGTCTTGGTCAGTTGAGGCTGCTATAACAAAGTATCATAGATGGGCTGGCTTTTCGAGATAAGATTTGTGTCTGGTGAGGGCCTGTTT